GGAAGAGGATGGTTGGAGGGGGGAAGAGAGGGGGAGCGTGGCGGCAAGTGGAGGTGTGCATCGCGAGAAGCAGGAGGGGCGCAGAGCGAAGGTGCAGAGGCACTCCAGAAGATGGGGAAAGCAGCAGGCAGGCAGCCCGACCCAGGCAGACGGTGGGATGAAACGAGCGCCGCGGGGGTGACACGGCGAAACAGACACACACACACAAACACACTTGTTGCGTCGGCGGCTAGGCAAGGGACGTTTGTGCTGGCGATGGGATGCCTAGACGAGGATGCCGTTAGAGCGAATTGTGCCACCACGCGAGGGGAAGACACAGGCACAAACACACACACGACAACAGTGACAATGACCCAGGATGCAAGGGCCCCTTTGAAGGGGCCCTGGGACACACAAATAGGAAGACACACATAACAGGATTCCCCATGTTTCCCACATGTTCTGGGTTTTTGTCCGCCCCGCCACTTCCTATGTTTGTCCCATCTTTTCCTGGGAATCGACGATGAATTGTCTCTGTGTGTTTGTTCTCCCCTCCAGACCCTTGCCTTACAGGTCCACCCTCCAGCCCGGCTTCGACGGCCAGACATAGCCACCCGTGCGCCGCGACGCGGTGGACCAGACGTCGGCGGGGCCGCTCTTCGCCGCCTCAGGGAGCGCCTGCTGGACGCCACCTTCGTTGGCGAGAGCGAAAGAGAGAGAGAGAGAGAGAGAGAGCCAACCGGGGAGCTGCTCGCCGGCGACCGGGGTGCGCACGAGGAGCAGCTCCGGTGACTGCCCGCCACAGGACGCCCGGTCCGTCCGTTTGTGGTGGCCTCTCTCCAGGCGGCTCGAGAACGAGCCGACGTTCCCTGTCTCTCAGGGCTCCATGGTTAGGCCGGGCATGTCCTCCTGCAGGCGGATCTCGGGAGAACGAGTGCAAAGGTGGTCAAAACAGTAATCGAACGTAGTCCCCCCAAAAAACACGGGAAACCGTCCCCTGACTATTTCTTGCTGCCTTCGAGTGCTCCTCCTGTAGAGGGGGAGCGTGCCCCACTCGATTCGATGGAGTGCTTTTCTCTGGCGCCCGGTGGCGGAGCCTGGGCCCCCGAAATCGGGGGCCCGTGGCCACCCCCCCCCCTGCCCCCCCCTGTGTTGTCACCCCTGCGTGAGGGCGGGCGTGTCCTCCCACAGGCGGAAGAATGCAAAATGGTACCACGAATAGATCTCAAATCGTCAGACAAGGAGGATTCAGAAATCGTTCCCAGACGAATCATCCACTATTTTGGAGCATCCCTCCTGTCGAGGGACACGCTCGACTGAGGCCTATCGTGGCAGGGCCCGTGGCACCCCGTCGCTGCCCCCCGGCGAGGCCTCCCCCGCCGCGGCCGCGCCCCTCTGGCCCCCCCTCGCGGGGGAGAGGCACGGCTGCCATGGCAGAGGACCCCGCACGCCGGACGGAGCGCCCCGGAGAGCTCCTGGCGCCGCCCTCTCTTCGCAGCGGGCGCTCTCGCCCGACTTCGGGCCCGGGGGACCCTCACAGATCGATCCGCCTCGAGAAGTGGCGCAAACGGATGGGGTCCGGGGCTCCGGTGGCGATACTTGGCAAGGTTGCCTCTTTGAGCCTCGTCGGATCCCAGGGACGCGCTCGCACCGAGACCGTGCGCCACAGGTCTGCCGACCCCGGTCCGAGCGTGGCCGCGGGCGAGACCGACGAGGCAAGTCCCAGGCATCCGTCGTCGCGCCATGCGCTGAGTCGGCAGGCTCCCGAGCTCCTGGCCCCGTCTTCGGGTCGTCGTCGTCGTCGTCGTCGTCGTCGTGATCGTCGTCGTCGTCGGCGTCGTCGTCGGCGTCGTCGTCCTCGTCGTCGTCGCCGCCGCCGACGCAGTCGTCGTCGTCGTCGTCGCCGCCGCCGCCGCCGTCGTCGTCGTCGTCCTCGTCGTCGTCCTCGTCCTCGTCGTCGTCGTCGTCCTCGTCGTCGTCCTCGTCGTCGTCCTCGTCGTCGTCCTCGTCGTCGTCATCCTCGTCGTCGTCCTCGAGATCGTCGCCGCCGTCGTCGTCCTCGTCTTCGTCGACGTCGTGGTCCTCCTCCTTCTCCTCCTCCTCCTCGTCGCCGTCGTCGACGGGCCTCGTGCTGCGGGCCTCCTCTTGCTCCCGGGAGCCCCGCCCGGGGGCTCCGAGGAGGCCGGCCGCCCGCGAGGCGGCCGCCTCTCGGCTTCTTTGTTGCACGAGGGGCGCCAGTGGAGTAGATACGGCGAAGCCCAGACAGGGACGGCACCACCTCCTCCTCCTCCTCCTCCTCCTCCCCCTCCTGGTCCTCCTCCTCCTCCCCCTCCTCCTCCCCCTCCTCCTCCCCTCTCTCCTCCTCCTCCTCCTCCTCCTCCTCCTCCTCCTCCTCCTCCTCCTCCTCCCAAGCACAAGCGGCGCGCGACCGGGCGGCCCCCCTTTTTGGCTCCAACCGGTCATGCAGTCACTCTCGGCGTCTCATCGCGGCGTGCTTGCGGCAACCTGGAGATCCTGCAGCATTCACTGGTGTTGGTCTTGCTGTTCTCGATGGGTTAGCTAAGACCGAGAGAAAATTCATGCAGGCATTTTTTCTTCAGCAGCTTCCTCATCAGTGCTGGCCGCGTGCGACTTTGTGTTTTACGTCGTCCACGTCGCTTTCGTGCTGACAGGGTGCAGACTGGGTCCTTGCCAATCTGAGTTTGCAAGCTTTCCTGTGCATCGATTTCGTGGTCCGTCCCAGGCTGCAAGGGCAATGGGGGGAGCCGCCACCCGCCAGCGGTCTGGGCGTATTTCAGGCGAGCGGATGTTGCTGTCACGACCGTCCTGGAGGACATCCGCCCCAGGTGCAGGGTCGATGGGGGGAGCCGCCGGCATTTTCCCACCCGCCTGCGGTCTGGGCGTATTTCAGGCGAGCGGGTGTTGCTGTCACGATCGTCGTGGGGGACATCCGCCCCAGGTGCACGGTCGATGGGGGCAGCCGCTGGCATTGACCCACCCGCCTGCGGTCTGGGTGTATTTCAAGCGTGGTGCTGGAATGGTGGCTCGTGGTATGCATTGGGAGTTTGTGGGACCTTCTCCCCATCCCGTCGTGTCCACTGTCGCTGGCTCTGGCCTTGTACGTGTATGGTCTATGCGGTTGTTTTCACAGTAGATTAGAAGAGGTCAAGAGGTCGATTCGTTTTCGTATAGGGGTACGGTTTTTGGAATTGGTATTGTGGGGCTGTCAGTGGAGAAGGCGATCTCCTTTGGGGGGGTGCACGGTGGCCAGTGATGAGTTGTCACATCATTGAATAAGGGCCGTATCGAGCCGATTTCACCGAAGCTGAACGTTGTCAAGTTCTATGGTTTTGGCCGTGTACGTATCCTACCATTCCCTCATAGACTTGGAGATGGTAAGCGGGTGACTCTTATGTTGTGGTGGATTCATTGACTTAGTCATATGGTCACGCTCATGCTCCTCCTCCTCCTCCTCCTCCTCCTCCTCCTCCTCCTCCTTGTCTTCCTGCGCCATCGCCCGCGTCGTCCCTGTCCTGGCTTCACCCCTCCTCGTCCCCTTCCGCCGGGTAATTAGCACAGCCTGCGAGGGGCAAGCGTGGCGGCGTGTGCAGGGCCTCGGCAGCAGGGCCTGTGAGTAGGAGTACCCTCGGGCGTGCTGTGGTCCAAGGCCAGCGGGGAAAGCAATCTTGGTCTTCCTCATGGCACCTCCGAGTGGCCGAATAGCGGCGGCGAGGTTCTGGCTTCGTCGTGTGCTCAGACAGCAGAATATAACTCGCGCCGGATCGCGCGTGCGTATTCCTGCTTGCTGCGAGGATGCAGAGCAGCTCATCTTGCCAAACGGGTCCACCGCCTGAATGGCAGGCAGCATGGAGCGCTCGTCTTTCACGGGGGCGCCGCCCGCATCGAACAAAAAAACGCATGCCAGGACTTATGAAGAGATGACTTACGATGGGACGCTGTACGTACGGAAGTATCGTTGATGCATCCTGGGCTTGCTCTGGTGCTCCTCCCAGTCCTTTTCCTTCTCCACTTCCTCCTCCACCCTCCATCGCAGGAGGTCTCCGGGGGTCTCCAGGGGTCTCCGAGGGGCCAGAAGTCTCCAGAGGGTGCCGCGGATGTCCCCAGAGGCCCCTGGGGAACCCTGGACCCCCCCATGAACAGAACAGCCAGTCAGACATCCTGGGGCCTCGAACTTCGAGGCTCGCTGGCGTTGTGCCTGGGGCCCCGCCGAAGGCCCAAACGATTGTTTTTCTCAGTGGGCACAGAAAAAAGTGGGTACGATGCCCGCCAGCAAATATTGTCTAGACAAGCGCGTTCCACTACTCGCAAAGTAGTTACTCGCACATGGCCTGGATCCCCCTTGGGGGTCTCCGATACATGACAGCACAGCAGACATGTGTTTTTTTTTTCTGACGTTTGCGAGTAGGCACTTTACGAGTAGTGGAACGCGCTCGGCGATTATCCAAAGCCGAAAGCGGCCGCTGTCGGGCAGGCGAGCTCGCGCCTACGGTGGACAACGCCCGCGGCGCTGCGGACAGCGAGCCCTGCTCAGAAATCGGACAGGAACCGCTGTGGGCATGCGTCCCCGCTCTCTACTTCGCTCGCCCCCGACGGAAGGCGCCCAGAGACACACAACTAAACAGACACAAGTCCCAGTATTCCCTGTATTTTCTGATGTCTTCTGGATGTTAGTTTTTTCCCCGCCACGTCCCATACTGTCAAGATTCTCTTGGGAATCGACGAATACTTCTTTCTGTGTTTTGTTCCCCCTCCTGATTTACTTCGATCCTCCCCGACGTTGACCCCTGGTTCTTGGGCCAATGATCCGCTGTCCGGAGGCCGCTCGGGATGCTCCAGGCACGGCCGGAACCCTGTCGGCGAGGCGCAGCTGCCGGAAGGCATCCCGAGGCCGGAAACCCGAGCAGAACCTGCGAAGACGCCCGGGAACCTCAAATCGCTTCGACCGCGCCGAGGCCGTCGTGCCCACGTCGGTCGCCTCTCGAACGATGGCGGTGGAGGTGCTGAATTTGCTCCCGTGGCCCGCGCAGCCCAGCCCACAGTCGCAGTCGCAGACGCCGCGGCGGCTGGCACTTGTGGCCAAGGCCTGCTGGGCCTGTGCAGCGGGGCGCCCTGGGGGCCCGGCGCGGGGGCGCCTCTCTCCAGAGGCACAGCCGTCGGTGTGTTCACGGCCGCGGTCGGGCCTCACCTGGGCGGGACTCGCCCTGGCCACCTTCACTTCGCGCCCTCGCCCGTCCTCCTCCCCCCTCCTTCTCCTCCGTCTCCTCCGCATCCCTCCCTCCCTCCGTCACTCTCCCCCTCCTTTTCCACCTCCTGAAGATCTGGCAGGAAACTCTGTCACGAGAAGGCAAGCAACACGTGGGCCAAACGACATCGGAACGCGTGGCAATGCTCCCCACCCCGTCGCACGGCCATGTTCTAACACCCCCCTTCGGCTAATGTGGGCCGAATGAGGCGACGGGTGAAGAACTCAGATTCAGTGAAACGGAACGGAGTTAACTAAATGGTCACGGCATGTGAGAAAAAAGTAGCACGGTTGATAATCATTCGAAACAACAAACACAATCTATGAGACGCCCTGTGGCGAATCTAAACACGTGAAAATAACTGAAGGCGTAACTGGTGCGAGCGGAAGGCGATTGCGTTTTGGGCGGAAACGTGCAGGGCACTCTTAACACGCAATATACGATTATGGATGTCGCAAAGCACCGAGCCACGTTGTGCAAATAACATAATAGGAGTTGTGCGTAGACGAACACCTGGATCTCAACTGACACTGGGCTCAATTTGCCGTCGAATTCCACGAAATTCGACTGGAACTCCACGGGTCTATTCAATGAGATCCCCGCATTACTGTTCCCCCACTTGTTGGTGTTCGTGCCTCTTTTCATCCAGCAGAATTGGCGTCAGTCCATACGCTGAGCCCCCATACGGCAATCCTTTTACGAATACCGATGCCCACACATGTCTTCGTTTCCGAGGTTCTCTCTCAAGTTCACGAGGTTTTTTTCATGCCCCGCGAACCGGGGCTGACATACAGCGCACAAGCTCCCTTACTGAAAACTGCATGTCCAAACGGTCCTGTGCACAATAGCTGGCTCAAGCCACCAAAGCTACGCATTGCTTTTAAGGGGCTCCTCGTCTTCTTGGCGAGGTTGCTTTCCACCTGGTATTGCACACCTCACTTTGTATTGCCCCAGGCAGTAGTCTTTGACGAGTATCTCAGCTTGCTTTCACCCACCTCGTGCCAAAACCCGTCCCAATTCCATTCCCGAGTTCGATCGAGAATCCTGATCGGTTTCAAGTCTAGTGGTCCTGGCCTCAGCCTGCCCCAGACTGTAATTTCACATGTCCTTGGGATTTCTCCTGCGAACCAATCAAGGTCGATACCATAACCCCGTATAGCAAATTCGTATCAATGCACCGTTGGCCAAATCCGCCCTTTCTGTTTAACACGCATGGTGGCGCTCCCCCATGTATCGCATGCAAGACCATGTAACAAGCATCGCAGTTGCTGGCTGCATCCCAAGTGCCGCCGATTGACTTCAGCACGTGCCCGCGCGCCTGCTTCGCGATCTTCCTCAGGTAACCAGAAGAAGATGTGATTCTTGGCCTTGGCGTGCAAGTACCCCCGTCGAACGTCAATGAGAGCCAACGTTTGCCCTTTTTTTCGCGTTCCCCACGATTATGCCCCAACCCTTCGGTAACAATCATAAAGAATGGCGATGTTAGGGGCTCCAATGGGGGCGCGGCTGCAATGATGTTGTGCTCTTTGAATATGCATTAAGACATCGACGGGCGATCGTGAAACTCTTGCGATAATGCAGTTGGGGATTCTGGCGGGGATGGTTATGATGATCATGGAAGTGACGACGATGATGCTGATGGTGATGACGGCGCAAGAATTAGTCGAGAGATCTCGAGACTCGTGACGAACCAGGCGCGCGACACAAGGCTGACTCGAGAGATCTCGAGGCTCGCGGCTACTTGGCAGCAGGTGCACGGCGCAAGGCTGACTCGAGAGATCTCGAGGCTCGCGGCCAAGCAGGCGCCTACATTTTGCCAGCGCAAGAGAGGTCCGTGGCCGATCTGGCCAAGCAGCCCCTCATGCGCGGGACTTCGAACCACTCTCCCACGCGGGCGCGGCATCCTTTGGGGCCGTCCTTGCATGGGAGACACTTGGTGCACAAATGGGCGGCGGCGCTAGCCTCCTCGCACGCGGCGCACTTCGGCTCGGCCGCCGCGGGGCCCTTGCAGGGTTTGGACTTGTGCTTGGCCTTTGCCTTAGCCCTGGCCATGGCCATCGCCCAGTCGTTGTCGCTGGCGCCCTTGGGTGCACTGTTAAACTCGCTGCCTCGAGCGACCGCGGTGCGGATGTTCGCTGGCATTTGGCGGCCCTCGCCTCGGATCTCGCGCAGGGCGCGCTCGATCCAGCGACTCGTCCACAGGCCGCAGCTCCAACCGTCTACTCGGAAACCTGACCGACGAAATCTGGGGAGGAGGGCGGGGGCGCACTTCGCTCGGCAGCTCCCCAGCATAATGAACCCCACCTTCCCCCCTCAGAAATCGCGGAGTGTAGGCGTGAGTTCGCATGTGGCCCCTTTGGGCCTGCTTGGCTATCTCGGGCGGCTGCTTGAGGGCGTCGCGGTACTCCACCTCGACGCCGCCCCCGTCGTTCCTCGAGACCTGGCGGGAATTGCCACAGGCGCCCCCCGACCAGGGCACCTCCAGGATTCGCTCCAAACCGGAGCGAAACGCTGGAAGCACCCTCGGAGGAGGGCCGTTGCAGCAACCGCCGACCTCGAGGTGCGTGTAATGCGCGGGCGCCTCGGAGTGCACGCAGACCAGCACGTGCTGGGTCTTGTCGACCCTCCCGGCCCAGCGCCTCTGCCCCTCGGGCTGCTGGGCTGCGGGCGCGCCCTCGCCCTGGCCCTCTCGAGTCCAGGCGACGGCCGCCGCGGGCTCGACCGCCAGAACGTTGTCGCGGGCACCCACGCGCTCCTCGATCTCGCCCAGCAGCGCGCGCACCGTGCCCAGGTCGACGGCGTCGCCCTTGACAATCTGCTCGCAGTTCATGATCGCATACTCCTTGGCGAGCGCGGTGCGGCGAGCCTGTCTTGTCTGGCGCCAGTCGAGCTTCTGCGGCCTGGGGAACTTGCAGCCCTGCTCGATCATGACCTGTGGCGCTCGGGATTCGCAAGCGCTCGTTAGCTTCCGCCTGCTCCCGCTTCGCGTTGCTTCCGCCTGCTTCCGCTTGCGTTTATTTTCTCTGTCCGTCAACTTCCGTCTACTTGCGCCGCCCCAGGCAGAAGCAGGCGGCAGCTACCGAGTGCCCGTGACCCTCCCAGCCTCGCTGCTCTCGATCTGGAAGATCGCCGCGTTCTCCACCTCGAGGACGCACAGGCGGCACTCGTCCTCGGTGCCCGGACTCGCCAGACGTCCTGCTCTCTGCCGAGCCTGCCCTCGCGGGCGCCCTCCTCGGTGACGCGCGCCACCTTGCCGTGCCAGGCGGGCTCATCGCAAGCCTCGAGGCCGCCTTTCTGCTTGGCCTTGTCCTTCTGCTTGGCGTTCTACCCCGCTTGCTGCTTCTGCCTGAACTTCTTGGAGAAGCTCGACCGCGACTTCGGCGGCCTGCCTGTGAGCTTCGCCTTGGCCACGCCTCTGCCGAGGTGCTCGAGCGCGGTCTCGCCGCCAATATTGGCCTTCTCGCGCTGCCGCTTGCGAGCGTGCTTGCCCAGGAACTGGCCCGCGAACTTGGGCGCCAACCTCTTCTTGCGTTTAGCTGCCCGTTTGAACCCGATCCTGTTCGAGGGCGCGCGGGAACTTGATCTCCTTGATCCGCTCCTCTGGCGGTTTGAGCGCGTCCTTCTGCTCGTCGGTGAGCTCGAGGTCCAGCTCTCGGAGCTCCAGGAGGCAAGGGTTCTCGCCCTGGTCGCAGCCCCTCGGCAAGTCGTCGTTGTGGAAGCAGTTGCCGTCGAGGACGCTCCACTCGGGCACGGGCGGCACGCCTTCGGGCAAGCTCTGGATGCCCTCGAGGCGCTCTCTCGCCCGGCGGTTCTCGATGCCGCGGCAGGACTGGATGAGTAGCTCCACGGCTCCATGCCCGTGACGACCTTGAGCTCGCCTTGCCCTGTCGGCTGGACCGCGAGCATCTGGTTGGCTCGCAGCCCTCGGGGCGGCACCGCGTCTTTGTTCTGCTCGCGGAAGCGGGCGTAGGCCTCGGAGACGAAGTAGAAGCACTCGTAGGGCCCCCATTGCGTCGGGGACTTGTACTCCCTCTGGGGCTCGGCCTTGGCCTTCTGGATCGAGTCTAGCGCCATGGCCCAGTGCATCTCGGCCTTGACCTCTCGGATATTGGCCTTGAGCTGGCTGTGCTCGCGGAAAACGGGTTCTTGCGAGAAGATCGTGGCGTCGGGGGCCATGGGCGCGTAAATGGCATGCTTGAGCCACGCTCGCAGCGCCACTGCCTCGGTCCACTGGCTCGAGAGGCAGTCTGCGAACACGAGGCTCTGGCCGTGCTCCTGCTCGATGAAGTCGATGGTCCAGCTTGCCGCCGGCTCGCCCGCCCAGGCTCTCGGCTGCCCCCCCGCGCGTCGATGACCTCGAAAACCCTCGCGCGGTCCGCCTCGGAGAACTCGAGCAGACCGGTGCGCCAGCCCTTGCGCAGCGCTCCCACGGGCTCGCATGCTCGGAAGCGCTCCGCCTTGCCATCGCTCCGCTCGTTGGCGGCGTCGCGCCGCCAGGTGCCCTCCGAGGGTCGTGTCGCTGACTCGGAGCACGCCGCGCCTCTTGGCGGACTTCGGCTCGCTGCTCGGGTCGAACCAGTTCTCGACCGCGGAGATGTTGATGAGGGTGATCCTGTACTTGTCTCCTGCGCTCGAGTGGGCCTGCTCCACTTGCTCCTTGTGGCCGGGGTGCTCTGCCAAGAACTTGGCCTTCTCCATCTCGAAGGCTGCCTTGTCGCGCTCGTTGCGCGTCTGGCAGAAATCCCTGCGGAGGTCCTGGATGCGTTTCTTGGCGCCCGCGGCGCGAATCTCTTGGGCGCCCGAAATGGGCGCGGAAAGAATGGATGCAATGCCCCGCAACCAATGTTGTCCCGAATCAACGACGGTCGCCTCTGGGCAGGCAGCCTTCTGTCTCGAATGGACACAGGCCGCGGCGACACCGACAGCGAATCCTGTTCAACATGAACAAACACTGCTGTTGGGCACTGCGCCCTTTCTCCCGCGCCCCCGTCGCTCGCACC